GATGCATTTTTACTCAGCAGCCGCAATGAGAACACTTTGTTTTTCTGGGTCAGGTCTTGTTACATTTCTCCTCGAACATCTTAGCAAATTTTTACTGTCGAAAAACTCTTGAAAATTGCAAATAGTTTTGGTTTGAAAAAACCTTGTCCTGGTGCGACCAAGCTGGAGATGCGTCCTGCTGTTGCCTTACAGGAAAAATAAGCAAATTGTTGCTTTGATTTGCATTTTGTGGAGATAAATAAGAAAACAGGAATCGAAGTAATGGAAGAAAATGGATCAATGAGTCAAGAATGTAGAGCTCCGCATTAGTTATGGGGCTCTGATGGTGACATGGACAGGTCCTGGGTGCTGTGTGGAGGAGCCTGGTAGCATCATTCATAACTCATTGCTCCCCCCCCACACACACATCTGCATTGTTTAGTCAGAGAAATCACCCTGGCATCAGCACAAGACTACAACCTCATGATGCATTCAGTGGACTGGCAGGACGTCTTGAAGAAACTAAGTCTTTCATCCTGCTACTACTCTGACTTCTCTGTACTCACAACTTTTAAAGAGGGCACACACCTCCAAATTGCATAGACTTGCTAACCGAATGAACATGTGAGCTTAACAGGCTATGCTTCAAATGGAAAACGTGTTTATCAGCCTCTTAGAGTGAAGGCCTGGCGTCATATTTAGGGATTAGACGAGGATGGTGGAGGAGACTCATAGGGTTTATAAAACAGTTCTACAACAGTAGCAACAAAATGCGTAAAAGTAGCGACTTCAAGGTTCAATCGTTTGGTGATATCATCTCAAAGTGGTCGGCGAAAAAACACAGATTGTGGATTTTGTTCTATTGCCATTGGATTTTTCATCCCGTTGGTTTTACTACCTCAGTCGATATCTTATCAGTCGTTGGAGGTGGACAACCCTTCCATTGTGAGAAAAATCTTAGTTCAGATAATAAAGCAGTGCAGGTAGCGTCGTGGTAGGACTGCCAGGAACACAGATCTGGAAAATCTTACCCATTTGGTAAGTATTAAGAGCGGAGAAGGACAATTATTACCTTGACTTTGGAGTTTTACAGGTTTGCCAAATTAAAAGGTCATGGAGGCTGTAGGGTGAGCTTAGTCTGGAGTAATTGGGACCTTGAAGCACCAATATTGTTGGTAATTAGCATTTTTCTCTTTTTGGCTTCGGTTTTGTGTTGCCAGTGAAAAGAAAAACATGATTGTGGCAGTGTTTGGGTTTCGCTTCATCTGATTTTTTTCTCAGACATCAACATTTCCTATTTTCTTGAAAGTCAGTCAGTTTCTTCGATATCTTATCAGTGATTATTTCATCCAAAATATTTCATCCTAATAAAGACGGTTTCAAGAAGATAACCTTACTGTATGTCACATTGAGAACTGAAACACACTGAGTCTTTCTTCCAGTTGGACCAACTTTATCATTCTCTTTAAAATCCCTGATTCTCATAATCTCCCATCACTCCTAGGTTTTAGAAAAAGAGTACATAAAAAAAGAAGAAGAAAACACAGGGAAAAACGAGAAGAGACAGTGACCGAGTTCCAAACTATTTTTTTTAATGTTTTTTTCTGGGTGAAGAGTGAGAGCTGATGGGGGAAGGGAGGGAGGGAGGGAGAGACAAAGGAGGCAGATGGGGTCTTTGTGAAGGAGTAAAGGAGAAGAATTTGCTCGACAATAGATGAATAGGTGAGGTAGAGGAGGAGAGGGGGACGGGAGCAGGGGGAGAACTCAACCACCTGCTGTCCTCCCCTTTCTCCTCTTTCACTCACAACGCTCAGATTAACTTCCCTTTCACTCCCTCTCTTCTTCTCCTCCCTGCACAAACGCTCACGTCTGCACGTTGTCGTCGCGCACCCTCGTTTCTCAGTCCCCGTTTCTCCTGAGTGTCCTCAGGTTGGAGAAATGTTCACCTCCTTCTCCGTCTCCTGCTCCACCTCCTGTGTTTTCATCCTCCATTTTACTCCGCCCACCTCCTTCACATATGATGCAAGACGCTCAAGCCTCACTAATTGCCGCTGATGAACCTGTGATTGATTTGAAACCTTTTCACTTCGCTTACGTTGCAAACGTTTACGTCCCAGTTCATCTAGAAGCCTCTTTTCTGAATCGGAAGGTTTTGAAGACCCGCTGATATAAAACTTCAGCTATCTATGAACTAATTCAGGCTGAAGAAGATGATGAACACCTGCTCAATGACACAAAAAAATATATAAAAAATATAAAAAGCATGGCATGCATTCGCGTTTAGCTCTGTTGACTCTGATGCAACTAGATAAAATCTGGTGAAAACAAATTACCTTTAGAAGTCACCTATGCAAATAGTGTCCGTGTGTGTAATTCATCTTCAGTTTTAATATTACAACTATTCTGTGAAACCCTCAGTTGCAGAGCTTGAAAATTAATGTTCTTCATCCAGTCTCAATTTGAGTTTTTCACAATTATGAGGAAAAAAATTAAGACTCCAGATGTGCAAAGCTGGAAGATACATACCCAATAATTTAAGAGCTGGAACTGGAAAGACTTGGTAACTCACATGGACTGAATACAAATGAACACCAAACCTTTCACAGTTGCATTTATGAACGGTATCCCTTCCACTTAGTTATTATTATTATCATATCCCAGTTGAAATATGTTGGCATTTGCAGTTGTAACATCACAAAATGTGCAAAAAGTGCGAATACTTCTGCATGGCATTGCATATTTATGCTATGCACTTTAATTTGTTTCCCATTGTAATCCTGTGGTGGAGGATATGTTTACTTTTACATGAGCAGAAAAACGTAATGACCTCATCTAAAACTTGTTTTGTTTTGCTGCTTCGTTCCAGGGCTACCATCCTTCACTCCAGTCTGACTACCAGTCAATGGGCGGAGCGATGCTGAATAGTGGAGCAGTAATGTCTCCATCAGTGGACTACCACCAGCTGGGCCGCCACACACCAAACCACCACCCTTCCTTGGACTGGAGCACTGAATACCATGGCAACGGGTTGGTATTAACACCACAGTTCGCCGCGGGTTAACGTCTCTCCATCCTCGGAGACGTAAAAGTCCCAAGTATGAAACTGTGTTTAGCATAAGTAGGCATAAAATAAATGTACTCAGTTTTAAACACACTGAAAAGGCCTCTTTGTGTCTTTATATAGAGTTGTGTAAGCTTAATGTTACCTCCTGTCACAGGATCACAACACATTTCAAACCTGAACTTTTATGATGTCCAAATTTCATTTTGAATATTTACAACTATCAAGCCAATAATACTTATCAAAGCTAATAAGGCAAAAGTGAAAATGGCTCTACAATTGAAAAAAGGGAACCAAAGCAAACTTCAGTGGGCACCCACACCCCACCTTCTAGCTACACCCCTGCTCGGGTGAAATTTGACAGATTTTTCAAGAGAACGATCTGCAAAAAAAAAAGGGATTTTGGCTTGTTATATGTTGTTTGAGAATGGTTACAGTTTTCTTATCACTCCTCAGAGCAGAACCCTGCATGCTTCATTTGTTCAATGTTTCCACTTGTCTTTGTCACATTTTCCTCTCATGGTGAAACCAACTTCTTTTCTTCAAACACGCAGAAAAAAAATTACACTTCTGTCATTTTCACCGACGTTAACCTTTTAAGAAGGCAGTTGAATAGAAAGTTTTGTCAAAATTATTTTATTAGTTTTTGTCCATTCATTTCTAAAGCTTATTTTCACGTTTTAAAAAGACCAGCAAGCACTTCTCTTTAGAAAGACGAATCTTAGCTGACGACTGATCTCTTTGTTTTCCTCCAGAAGTCTTCAGAGAGACAAACCGCTGTATCTGAGCTAATCTCGGGACAAAACGGCACCAAATATGGACCCTTATACTGCCACAACGGGAACTCCAGCACTGAGTCGGGCCTGGTTCTCACTTAACGCCCAATCAAATCTCCAAACACGAAACGGACTCGCAGTGGACTTGTCATCAAAGTGTGAACTAAAACTTGAATTCAGCACTTAAAAGAAAAAAACAAAAACAAAACAAAACCCCAAGAAGAAGAAAAACCGAATGAGTTTGTATATATTACTACTATCTCTTTAAAGTATAGCAGTGTTTACAATGTGGCATAAGCGTCTGTTAATGGCTGTATCACTCACTGCGTAATTGTTCCCATTTCTGCTGAAAATAAGAGTGAGTGGAAAGAGGTGGGTAGATCCTGTGCTGTGAACCACGCGGACTGGTGTACATACCCCCCAACATTTGAATATTTTCTGTCTTCGCAGAAGTTTTTCATACCTAGTTTCTTGTTTCTACTGAGGACGGTGATTATAATCAGCGCCAGGAGGTTCTGTAGTAGGTCATGTGTAAATTGCTGTAACATAATTGGTTAAAAGGAAAAATTTAAAGCCAGCCTTTGTTTTTTTCTTTTTTCTTTTTTTTCCTTTGAGCTGAAAGTTGCTGTGTTTTCTTTGCGGTCAAAGCCAAAAGAAGCACAGCATTAAAAACGTAACAATATAAACCAAATATTACTCCGGTTGTGTTTCCCTCCTCTGACTCTTTGCTTAAATGATGAACTCCCACAGGTTTGGGTGACTCTGAAAAGGGAAGACATTGATTAAAACCCCAGTTTATGTTGCTTTTTTAAAGATAAACAGAAGAACCCTCCCCCCTGCCAGGCTCTAAATGTGAATAAATGTCTAAGATGAAAGGATTTTCATTGTTCTCTTGAAGAAATCTGAAATATTTTAGTCCCTGAGATGATAAAATGTTAAACATTTCCTGTTGATAAAAGAAGTACTCCTTTGTATGAAGCCAGCTTTTCCTCCTGGCATATGTCTGTCGATAATACGGATTTGGATCCAAGCAAGTGTGAGTGTGTGAGGTGTTAATAAGACCGCAGAGTGGCTGACTGGTTTGCATGGTCTCTTTTATCATCTCTATTTCTCTGTGCTCAGAGACTATTTAAAAAAAAAACAACAAAAAACTGTAACTATTGCCGGGTTGGCTGTGTTTTCATGTTTTTTTTTTTTTTATTAAACTGAGGTTTGTTTTTGTGTTGAGGATAATGGAAAGAGGCATCTCTCTGTTGCTCTGTATCTATTTGTATTCATGTGTTTTATTTTGGCAGATGAAAGGACTCTGGGCATCAACCATGAAGATTTTCTTATTTTTAGATTCTAATAATGTGTTTGAGAATAAAGTCGATGCTGCACCGATGTGCAGTCGTTACTTCAAAACATGTTTCATGTTGTTTATCGCCGAGCGGTTGGCAATACCTTTATCTGACTGCAGCTGGATATTTGTACATAACCTTACTGCACCCGTATGCCGCAGCATTACCTTCTCCGTTTATGAGCAGTGATTTGGGATTCAAAAAGAAATGGCTTTAATGTAGAGGCAGGTTATAAAACTTAAGACTTATATAAGACTTAAAGATTCAAGAAGATGGACAATACGTGTGGCCTATCAGACGGTGCTGAAGAAGAGTACTGAAAACATAAAAAATGTAAACAAAACAACTAATAAAACGTGAATCATCAACATACAGTTGTAACCTCTGCTTTAATGCAAAGGTTGCTGCTTGTTGACAGTGGAAGCCATTTTGAAGGAACAGAAGTAATAAGAAGCAACTGGAGCAGGTTTTGGACGTAACCCCGTCCCTGCAGGTAGATCACGCAGCAGCCGGACAAGCCGTGCCGGCCAATCATCCATAGCTGTTTCGGTCTCATCCCTTCCGCTCACAGGCCAACATTTTGTGCGTTTAGCACATACACTTTAGGATCTCAAACTGTCTCAACAAGTGCAACTGTCTTACACAGGTTTGGTTTCTCTTCCCCCCACCACCAACACCAATTGGATATTTTTGGACAGTTCATCAATATCAACTGCACTTCCTCCATTCACTGTTTTTTTTTTTTACTCAGATCTTTACACACCCGAATTTAAAAAGGAACCAATGATCTGAGCTGCTAGAGGATTTTCCTCTCTAGAGCTGTAGGCGGCCGGTTTGATGTTTTTTCTGGAAGAACCAGCCTCAGCTTCCTCCGGCTCGGTGAGGAGCCTCCTTCTTCTGACAGGTACTCCTGCTGCAAGAGGGCCGCCCCTCCAGCAGCTGGGGAGGATTCACCTGGTATGGACAGACTAGGAGCTGATTGATCCATTACAGACGTATTGTCTGCCTTCAGACATTCTCCTGATCCTCCTACCTGAGGTCCTTCAGTTTGAGCCACACCCTCAGGAGGCATATTGACAGACATTTTCTCCACTCTCGTTTCTGAGGTTTCCCCCGACGTCTCGTCTTGATCCTGTTCAGGGAGGTTGTCTTTAGTAGAGGGGGCTTGTGACTCAGTGGTCGATTGAATCTGTCCCTGTCCGCTCTGAATGTCTTGACTGTGAGTTAGATCAAGCTTCGGCGCCGCTGCAGATGCAGAACCGTCGACCTGCGTCTGGCTGTGACCCAATGCAGCTGGATTATTAGCTGGGTTTGCTAAACTCAAGACAAGACCATCAGATGTAGAGGTAAGAAGTGGAGCTGTGGGGTTTCCACCTGCTTGTAAAGGATTGGCTTGTATAATTTTGGCCAGAAGAGCAGGATTTGAGGACCTGGTCGATACTGCAGGTTGTCCAGCGAAGCTTTCTGGAGCTACGTTAAACCCACTGAGTGTTACGCCAGGAGCAATGGGATTAGCCAGACCACCGGTGAGCAGTGGATAGGATCCTGAGGACATGGTGTTGAGCAAAGCCTTCCCTGCTTGAAGAGACAGGGTGCTTCCAGTTAGCTGTGAGCCAGGCGAGTTCAGCAAGGAAAGGTTGGTAGTACAATTCCTGTCAGCTGGACCGAAGGAGAAGGGATGCTGGAAAGCCAGCTGAGCCCCACCCAATGCCAGTCCCGCAGTCTGGTACTGGAGAGTCTGGAGGTTTTGTGCAGAGACGGTGGTGCCGTCAGGCGGCTGGGAGATGTTTTGGTTCTTTTCTTGGTCACCTTCTGCACTTTTATCTCTTTTAGATGTGCTGCTTTTATGCTCTCCTTCATCTGCCTCCTCCGTTTTGGAGGACTTTCTCTTCTTCTCTCTGCTACTCTTAGATCTCTTGCCAGATTTCTCTTCTCCTTCCTCCTCTTCGCCTTTTCCATGCCGTCTTTTCTCTTTACTCGTCTTGGAGCTTGTGTTCTTGGTGTGACCATGCTCATTTTTCTTCCTCGGATGGACTTTGCTTTTTTTTAAGGGGTTTAAGTTCAATTTGACCTTCATCAAATGGCTGGACTGGACTCTGTGTCTCCTGTTTTTCTCGTTGCCTCTGGGAATTGCCTCCCCCTCCTCCTCCAGACTTTCCTTGCCTCGATTAGTTCTTGAACTTGTCAGATCAAACTTTACATTTTTTGCCTCTCTTTTTACCTCTGTGTTCATCTTTCTAAACGGCTCCCTCCTTACCTTGCCATTGAAATCAGATACGTCCATTTGGTTGGAGTGAGGCGTCCTGTGTGTCAAGTTCTCCTCTGGAGGTCTGGAGGTCCTGTGGCAATTTCTTTCTTCCTCATAACTTCTGCTCTTTGATTCATCATCAGTCCAGTGGTTGCCCATGTCACCGTCAGCCTTGTAGGGTGGAACATTGTCTGACGTTTCTCTCAGCAGATGAAAAGATGAGTTGGCGATGTGGGGAGGAACCTTGTTAGAGACATTCCAGCTGTAATTCTGTTGTTGAATAACTCCTCTCCTTCTCTCCTCTTCCACCATCATCCTCAATTTCCTTCTCTCCTGGACATCTTCAGCCTCAGGTCCTCCATTTGCCCACTTACCCTTTCTCATTTGGTTCGGCATCTTCCCATTAGTGTTGCAATGAGGGCAATGGACATTGCTACCATTTTCTTCAGCTCTGGACTTAAACATATCCATCCTTTCGTCCAGCGTCATGGACTCTTTGCTCCATTGTTGACTGCTGTTGGCTTGCAAGAAAAAATCCCTCGTCCTCTCCTGATCTCCGAGTTGATTTACATGGTTAGCAGTTGTTCTGTCTTTGTCCCGTTCCTCCTTCAGTCTTTGGCTCTCTTTCTTCTTCTTCTTCTTCTGTTGAGAGACGTGGTAACAGATCAAGACTGCAAGCAGGGTCAAAGCGACTCCTCCTGCGGAGAAACACAACAGGAAACAATAAAAATTTACAACCACAATTTGAGGGGAGCGGGGCGTTAGATTTGTTAGAGCATGTGATGTTTTACTCTGTATGACACTGACAACTATGTCTTTGATTATTTTACACCATAGCTCAAATTTGTTTACAGCAAGGACTGCCTTAGTAGATACAACACTTTCCAAGAACCAGGCCAGCTATTTTTTAAACAAGAGGAAATCATCATTGATCGATACTCAGAATGTCCTCGGTTTTTCTGTGGGGAGTTTGCATGTTTTCTCCGGGAATGGGTTGATTTTGTCTTCCTCTCACAGTTCAAAATTGTTTACCCGTCCGGTATGTATTGACAATATTTTTTAAATTTCTGTCTGGCCGTAAAGTTTGAAAGCCGGGAAAAAGAGACGCTGAAATTGGGGATATGACTCTTGCCCATAATAATATCAAAAAAAGAGATGGTTTGAACTTCCTCCTCCTCTCTCTGCAATTTGGTAAAAATAAATAAATAATAATAATAATAATAATAATAATAATAATAATAATTGGAAGAAAATCCCTTTCAGACGAACAGCATCCAAATCCAGAGGGAGTAATTATCCAAAACGTGAACACCACCATGAGTGGCACAATTCTAGAAATCTAGAATGTGCTACAGTTTGTGCCAGCATCACTTTTCTGAGAGGTTTCAAACATGTGAGAGTACCGCAAAAGAGGTTAGTCTAAGTACCAGCAGTGGGAGTTGTACCACAGCATGAGAACCAATGGGGGGAAACCAGCTTTTCTTCCCGGCACCGATTAATATTCTGACCTAGGAAGCAGATGACTGCAGCTATGGCCAGGTCTCGAGCGTACTGCTGAGGCGCCACGCTGCCTCTCGCCTCTATCTGCACCGTGATGTTCTGATTGGACGGCACGCAGTTGGCTTCAGTCAGCTCCAGCACCGTGGTCACAGCCGGGTTGTCCGCACTCACACACATCATCCGACGGCCATTGTACAGCGCCTGAGGACAACGGGACGTACGGGTGTTAGTTCTCAAGAAACCTGTGCTCTGAGATCTTTACTGTCACAGGTAACGAGTTTGCACGACGACGTCGCACATGCGTACCTTGTCCGGCTCCTGGATGAAGCTCGTCAGGACGGCAGCCAGCTCCAGCAGCTCGCATGTGCAGTTCCACGAATTGAGGTCCAGGTTCAGGTTCGACAGCCACACAAGGTAGGAGAAAGCCTCTGGAGGAACTGAACTCAGACGGTTTCTGGAGAGATCCAGGCTCCTCAAGCTAACCAGACCTCGGAAGCTAAAAGCACGATACGGTGGGCATATAAGATGGTATAACCTGGGTGAATTTTAATATATATATATATAAAAAAAATCGCATTACCTGTTTCTGTCCAGAAAATCTATCAAATTATCCGAAAGATCCAGAGTCTCCAGGCTCCTGAAGTCGTTCAGAGGAAAGGATCCAGGGTTCAGCCTGGTGACCAGGTTTCCCTCCAGCTTCAGGCTGAGCAGAGCCTTTGTGCCTGTAAACCAACCAGCCTGGATCTGCACACCAGCAAGAGGAGCACGTTACTGCCTTGATGATTTAGCCCTGCAACGTGTCGCTAAAGCCAACGAGAAGGCGGCCTTTGCGTTCAGTCGCCTTGAAATAAAATATTTGATTTGCCCCGTGAAGACACGCACCATGTTGATGTGATTGTGGCCCAGCGCAAGAACTTCCAGCTGGCTGAGATTGATCAGCGCTCCACCCTCCAGAGCCTGGCTGGTCAGGAGGTTGTGGTCCAACAGCAAAGTGTGGAGGAAAGGCAGGTTTCTGAAGGCGTCCTCACTAAGCTCTGAGATGTGGTTGCTGCTCAGGCCTGTAGACGTGAAGGTTTATGCATCCTGTATTAGTGATGTACACAAATATTATGCGTAGCTCTACAAAAGTATTTGAATCACACTTTGCCATGCTACAAGCAAAAGCTTGAATGAGTTGCATTAGTATTTAATGTCATAGATCAACACAAAGTAGAGAAAATAGTAACTTCTATACTTCTTTGTAATGCAAATCAAATTCAGTCGGGTTTGATGGAGAGCACTCTGAGGTTTTTGCACAGATTCTCAGTTTGAGTAAGATCTGGATTTTGACTGAATCTCTCTAACATAAGAATAGATTTTGGTTGTATGCTTAGTGCCAAGAGTACGACCGTTTTTGCAAGCCAGTGTCTGTGCATCCAACCCATCCTCGTTTTGTACTGACCTATAACCGTGATGTTCCTGAGGACAGACAGCGAGGCCTGCTGGACCACAGAGATGGAGCCCTCAGTTAGCAGCAGAGCCTGGGTCGAGTCTGCAGCATCTGCTCAACGACACACACACAACAGTAGCAGCCACACACTTCTCTAAAACAGGAGGACACTTGAGGAAGAAACTGTGTGAGTCGTACCAATGATGTTAGCAAGCCTCTGACAGATGACTGCATCCTCCGAGCAGACCGCACAAGAAACGGGGCAGGCTGGAACACGCTGGGCTTCGACGACTGGCAGCAGGAACATCAGCAAAACACCTGGACACGAATTCAGACATCTGTTTTCTTTTCAGCAGAACTTCATGACATTTTGCTGTTAATATAATCACGGAGCAAGCTGAGAGTTCTCACAGGTCATGGTGTACTACAGAAGAGTCGACATGGCGACGAGGCAGCATCTCTTCCACGCAGCTCTCACTCGATGCAGCTTCGTTATTGTCACCATCGCGTTTAATCTGAAAATACATGGTGAAAACACTAAAATGACATCTTTGCACAACTAATCTTGAAAATAAACCCAATGATAAAAGCTGATTAAAACCAACAAATTATTTGCTTAAACTCTGGAAGATGATGTAGCCTTAAGTTGAGGTTTTTATTTCATAAATAAAAGCCTGAAAATACAGAATCGGGTTTGATGGAGAGCACTTTGAGGCTCTTTGTGTGTGTCATACCCTGCTGACTACCAGGAAAAAAACATATTGTCCAGTCACCATTTTTTTTTAAAATCCCACAGTCTTTGTAAGGTAATTAGAATATTTATGCACTTACTTTGTCTCTTCCCATTAAATGTGTTATTACTGTTGAATGCCATTTTTATTAATTAGAAAAAGGTAAAGTCCCACCCCTTCACATGTGGTGTCACTGAAAAGCCCTAAATGTCCTCTCTAGATACCAAAAGGAATTAATTCAGTAGAATGCAGGGGGTGGGAGATATTCAAGTTTAGAAATGTCCTCTACAGAGGACAAAAATGAACTACTGGTAGTCAGGATTGCAGTTGTGAACGCATTTCTAACTAAGATTTGAATATTCAAATCAAGTATTTAAACATTCAAGCAGGAGAGTAGTAGAGAAGGTTTTTGTTTTGTTGCTAGGCAGACAAACAGGATGCTGAGTGATGGCTGACGGCCAAACACTGAGGCCTATCGGGTTCCTGCTGAAGCACCTTCGCTATCGGGCTGCATTTCCCTGAGTCGTCTGTTATGAAACAAGTTTGTGTTATGTTGCAGTACAAACTTTTACCAGAATCAACCATCAGAACAACCACAGTAAAAAAAAAGAAAAAAAAAGTGGCTTCCTTTATCACAGTGCAACATCTTTGCATCTTCACACCACAAGAAATGTATTTGATCCTCTGATAAAAACCTAAACAGCTTTACTGACTCAGAGTCAGTCAGAGGTTAACAAATTCACCGTTGGCATGAATTTCATAGAATGGAATGAGCATAAAGCAGATTATTTAAGTGGATTTAAGGAAGAATTGGGTCCAGAATTTTAAATTAATTTAAAATTAAATTAATAAGGATTTTCATTTTTAAAATCATACATTCAGTCTCAAATATGGACATAAACCCTTTTAATATTAAATATTATTGGGCAAGTTGAAAATCATGGCATCATTTTGACTAAAATACGATAAATCTTCATTTAGATTGGTTGGTTTTTGGTCAAAATTTAACTTTTAAGCAAAATTCATACATTTTTAACAACAACAAAACTAACAACCACCAAGGATCAAATTGATCGTAAACTGAGAAAGTGACCATGAGATTAAACATGCAGATTATTACAACTTGGACACAGTTGGATGTTCCAAATCAGAATCACAAAAGAAGCTTGTAAATGGTTAAAAGGGTGTAGCTTCTCCAGCGATACGTTTATTTTAATTTTCTAGAAGCGCGCCGCTCATGACGACAGCACGTTGCTCTGCTACGTCAGTTCCGATTTGTTCTTTTTGTAGACTTATGTTCTTAATTTTTTTTCTTCTTCTTCTTGGTTGAGGCATTGCATGTTTGAATAATTATTCCGTCTGGTTTTGAATGCTGTGCAGCTGGAAGGACTTTTTACTATTATCTTTCCCCTTCCCCCAGTTATGGTGATGCATAAGAGTGTGGGAACAGTGCGCTGTTTTTACAACTTGGGAGCGACTGCCATCTCGAAGCTCAAAAATTACCTGAGGTACCAGAGGAGTAAACAAGGAGGCTTCATGGACCGAAGAGCAGAGAGAGAAAGAGAAAATTCAAACCGTGTCTTCCGTCAAACACAATGCTTGAGGGACACACCCCCGACTTTCTGACCGTACAACCAGGCAGAAACTTAAAAGAGGAGCAGCCAAAGCAAACGACACGGATCAGCAGTGCTCGCCGGCGACATATAGTGCCAACCAGGACATGTAACTGTGAAATCTCCTGCCTTGATTTTGTGCTGTTAAGACAGAAAGACAGCGACGGTCTGCAATCAGAGGCCTATTTAGCGTTGACGCAAGACTGACTGCTACCCAGCGTCACTTCCTGTCCAGAGCGTCACCGTCCTTAACAACCTATTTGAAGGTGCTTGGATGATGTTAGTCATGACATTTAATTTCCCTTTTAGGATAAATAAAGTGTTTTTGAATCGAACTAAGATGAATTGAAGTGAATTAGATTTAATTGAATTTAAATGAAATATTTATGATGGTTGACGTTTACATGGAGCCTGAGTGTCTATTTGTTTTTTTAATCTGGTGTAGATTAGAGAAAAAATTCAAACGTGTTTATCCAGATTCCTGGGAAAAGAGTCATTATAAGAACGTGCAAAATTATAGTTCTGCCTTAGTTTACTGGAAAAAAAAGTATAAGAAAATGGCCCCATCACACTATTGTGGTCATCTGCTGCCCATTTATGTTAAGGAAGCATAAACAAACAATTAGTTGATTAAACTGAGAAGCGAATTGGGCCCACATCTGCATGTCAGCACCTCAGCTGCACATGTAGAGGAAATACCAAAGAAACTCAGAAAACTGTTTACAGGCTCTATAATTCTCTAATATGGTGGGTAGGGATGGGGGGGACTGTTGTTAATTATGTCTAATTGGTAAAATAGGACCAAAATATATTTACGTGCATCAGATGGGGGTCATTAAAAAACACTCTAATGCATAGCTCTGACCATGATGTGCACATGCAGGATTACTGTATGAGGAACTGTGAAAATGATAAATACCACATGTTGAGGGGACAAGTTGTAGATTTAGCTGGGAATGTGCAAAAACACGGGCTGACAGGACGATGCCTGGTCTGAAAGTTTGGCGCCAAATGGAGGCTTTCAGCATGACGACTATCCAGAGCATGCTGCCAAAACATGACAAAGAGTTTCGAAAAGGGAAGCAGAGAAAATGAAACATCGGACGATTATGTTACTTAACTCTAATCCAACCAAAAAAAAAAAAAAAAAAAAAAAAAAGAAGAAGAAAAAACGCCTCTGAGGCTTGTCTCCTTTGCTGGAAAGCAGCTGAAAAATGAAAAGGTCAGAAAAGAAATCCCAGAACTTTTCTTCCAAATCTGTTTCACAATATTCATGACACATTTTATTTATGAAAAAAAATTATTAGGACTTTAAAAAAAAAAAAATCTAAGTTTGAATATTTTGTGGTGAAGTTTTTTTAGGTTGACTTTTTATGAGGTCCTTACTTTAGGTTCATCCTGTTGAGATTCTTGTTTTCACGTCTTTGTTTAAATTTTTATATTTGTTTTTTTTCTCCAGTCATCATTTTCATCTTTTTGTCCTCTTAACACCACCCCATTTTTTTCTTTTTTTAAAGTTAAGCCCCATTTTCTACAGACCCCTTTCAGCTCCAGGTTGTAGAGTAATCTTTCATTTGACTAACATTTTTCTTCTGACTGGAAGCAATCCTCTATCAAAGTTTTTGAGCCAAAGTCGGAACCTGAATCTGCTGGAGTCTGTGGAAGGAGTTAAAGATTAGGGTGACGTCCAGGAGACCTTCCAACCTCAGAGAACTAGAGCTCATCATGCAAGTCTAAATCTTTAAAATACCAGCAAGAACGTACAAAATGCAAAATGTTGGTCAGCAATTACAAGAAGGGTTTGCTTGCTGTAGAGATTTTTCTGTTGGTTATTGAGAAAAGAGTAATTCTGAAAGGGACTTATATATATATATATATATATATATATATATATATAAATAAAATGTTAGTAAACCCAGAATCTATTTTCTTTCAGAATGCATATTTTCATATTATTTTATCTTATCTTTATCTTTTCTTTTCCGATCAGAAACAAACTTCCTAGTTTGAATGAAAGTAATCTTTAGAAATGTGCCAAGGCTATGAGTTGTATAATTTGGGGTTTAATTGTATGCAAATATCTGATTCGAGTTGTATTTGTGGGCAATCTACAGACGGTTTTGGCTGTTCTGTTCTTTTTTATATATATATATCCTGTAATGTAGAGCTTTCTATGCATTTTTCAGTCTTGTGCGTTTTTGGGGCATCTAAAAATCAACTTCCTGTCGTCATGTTTCCTGAAAGCACTTCAAAAGCTCACAAGAGGCAGAGTTGTCTGTTTCTTTTTCAGCAAATCTCAAACAGGAAGTGAATTCACATTTGAAATCAGATTGAAAAATGCCTGGGCTTTGGTAGCTTGGATGACATATTTCAGCTGAAAAGTATTTTATTTGTGATCTTTCATCAAATAAAGCTAAATTATATGCAGCTGATTAGTTATTTTTCACTTTACTAACAAGTATTAAGATTTCCAACAATTGGACAAGCTCTGCTGCTCAGCTAATAATCTTTACGTTGATGTCAGCAGATACTGGAGTATCGTAAACCGCAACGTTCTTAAAATCACTTCGATCGATTCTGCGCTCTGATGGAAGCTGCTGAAAACTGCAGCTTGATTCGAAATGAATGCAACATTCAGGTTTTGCTCACAGCAGACTTTCTGAAAACCTGAAAAATAGTTTTTGTTGATCAGGTTTACTCTATCTACAAGCTGCCAGATTTAAAGAGACACCAACATGATCTCAGTGACAACATTGACAATGTGGCCAAAAGAAACATGAAACATTTCAGTTTTCTAAGTAGAGCACTAAACCGAGAAATACAAGCAGATTCTGCTCATATATACATTTTTTTTTTTTTTGTGCGTGTGAGCCATCTACTCCATTACCAAAGCCAATACAGATCAGCGTTCAGGTTATGTTTTGCAGCTCATCATTTAAGAAGATACAAAGTCCTTACCTTTTTAGCTCCCTGCTGACGATCGCTCGGCATGCCTCGCTCCCATCCTGCGACACACACGCAGGTCTGACAGCTGAATTAAAACTCAAATTCCCTGCATTCACCAGTTGCCACGGAGACCTAAACATGTTCGGGTGTGTTGATCTTGGGTTACCTGGTCACTTTCTGAGCATGCTCAGTAGAGCTTCATGTCACCTGAGAAACACGGGTGTCCCGTCTGACTCAAGAGTCTTGAAATTTACACCAAATGCCGACTTGTTTTTGAGCGTCTGTCGTGTGCGACAAGTTCAGAACAGCTCTGTTTTATTAGTCTGATTTATTATCAATTTATTTACAGCTTTTACAACTGCTTCCAACAGAGATAAAATAGTTTGCATAATAAAAGTATCAATCAAATGTAATTTAAGT